CTTTACATAGAGGGCCAACTTTCTTAAACTTTACATAGAGGGCCAACTTTCTTAAACTTTACATAGAGGGCCAACTTTCTTAACACACTTTACATAGAGGGCCAACTTTCTTAAACTTTACATAGAGGGCCAACTTTCTTAACACACTTTACATAGAGGGCCAACTTTCTTAACATACTTTACATAGAGGGCCAACTTTCTTAACACACTTTACATAGAGGGCCAACTTTCTTAACACACTTTACATAGAGGGCCAACTTTCTTAAACTTTACATAGAGGGCCAACTTTCTTAACACACTTTACATAGAGGGCCAACTTTCTTAACATACTTTACATAGAGGGCCAACTTTCTTAACACACTTTACATAGAGGGCCAACTTTCTTAACACACTTTACATAGAGGGCCAACTTTCTTAAACTTTACATAGAGGGCCAACTTTCTTAAATTTTACAGAGAGGGCCAACTTTCTTAAATTTTACATTGATGGCCAACTTTCTTAACACACTTTACATAGAGGGCCAACTTTCTTAAACTTTATATAGAGGGCCAACTTTCTTAAACTTTACATAGAGGGCCAATTTTCTTAAACTTTACATAGAGGGCCAACTTTCTTAACACACTTTACATAGAGGGCCAACTTTCTTAACACACTTTACATAGAGGGCCAACTTTCTTAACACACTTTACATAGAGGGCCAACTTTCTTAAACTTTACATAGAGGGCCAACTTTCTTAAATTTTACATAGAGGGCCAACTTTCTTAAATTTTACATTGATGGCCAACTTTCTTAACACACTTTACATAGAGGGCCAACTTTCTTAAACATTACATAGAGGGCCAACTTTCTTAAACTTTACATAGAGGGCCAACTTTCTTAAACTTTACATAGAGGGCCAACTTTCTTAACACACTTTACTTAGAGGGCCAACTTTCTTAAACTTTACATAGAGGGCCAACTTTCTTAAACTTTACATAGAGGGCCAACTTTCTTAAACTTTACATAGAGGGCCAACTTTCTTAACACACTTTACATAGAGGGCCAACTTTCTTAAACTTTACATAGAGGGCCAACTTTCTTAAATTTTACATAGAGGGCCAACTTTCTTAAATTTTACATTGATGGCCAACTTTCTTAACACACTTTACATAGAGGGCCAACTTTCTTAAACTTTATATAGAGGGCCAACTTTCTTAAACTTTACATAGAGGGCCAACTTTCTTAACATACTTTACATAGAGGGCCAACTTTCTTAACACACTTTACATAGAGGGCCAACTTTCTTAACACACTTTACATAGAGGGCCAACTTTCTTAAACTTTACATAGAGGGCCAACTTTCTTAAATTTTACATAGAGGGCCAACTTTCTTAAATTTTACATTGATGGCTAACTTTCTTAACACACTTTACATAGAGGGCCAACTTTCTTAAACTTTATATAGAGGGCCAACTTTCTTAAACTTTACATAGAGGGCCAATTTTCTTAAACTTTACATAGAGGGCCAACTTTCTTAACACACTTTACATAGAGGGCCAACTTTCTTAACACACTTTACATAGAGGGCCAACTTTCTTAACACACTTTACATAGAGGGCCAACTTTCTTAAACTTTACATAGAGGGCCAACTTTCTTAAATTTTACATAGAGGGCCAACTTTCTTAAATTTTACATTGATGGCCAACTTTCTTAACACACTTTACATAGAGGGCCAACTTTCTTAAACTTTACATAGAGGGCCAACTTTCTTAAACTTTACATAGAGGGCCAACTTTCTTAAACTTTACATAGAGGGCCAACTTTCTTAACACACTTTACTTAGAGGGCCAACTTTCTTAAACTTTACATAGAGGGCCAACTTTCTTAAACTTTACATAGAGGGCCAACTTTCTTAAACTTTACATAGAGGGCCAACTTTCTTAACACACTTTACTTAGAGGGCCAACTTTCTTAAACTTTACATAGAGGGCCAACTTTCTTAAATTTTACATTGATGGCCAACTTTCTTAACACACTTTACATAGAGGGCCAACTTTCTTAACACACTTTACATAGAAGGCCAACTTTCTTAATAAACTTTACACATAGGGCCAACTTTCTTAAACTTTACATAGAGTGCCAACTTTCTTAAACTTTACATAGAGGGCCAACTTTCTTAAACTTTACATAGAGGGCCAACTTTCTTAAACTTTACATAGAGGGCCAACTTTCTTAACACACTTTACTTAGAGGGCCAACTTTCTTAAACTTTACATAGAGGGCCAACTTTCTTAACACACTTTACTTAGAGGGCCAACTTTCTTAAACTTTACACATAGGGCCAACTTTCTTAAACTTTACATAGAGTGCCAACTTTCTTAAACTTTACATAGAGGGCCAACTTTCTTAAACTTTACATAGAGGGCCAACTTTCTTAAACTTTACATAGAGGGCCAACTTTCTTAACACACTTTACTTAGAGGGCCAACTTTCTTAAACTTTACATAGAGGGCCAACTTTCTTAAACTTTACATAGAGGGCCAACTTTCTTAAACTTTACATAGAGGGCCAACTTTCTCAACACACTTTACTTAGAGGGCCAACTTTCTTAAACTTTACATAGAGGGCCAACTTTCTTAACAAACTTTACTGAGAGGGCCAACTTTCTTAACACTCTTTACATAGAGAGCCAACTTTCTTAAAATTTACATAGAGGGCCAACTTTCTTAAACTTTACTGAGAGGGCCAACTTTCTTAAACTTTACAAAGAGGGCCAACTTTCTTAACAAACTGTTCTTTGAATGTTTCTGTTTCAGTTGATGTGAAATAAATTACCCATGCTAAATAATCTCTTGAAAATTTTAAGTTGATGTAAAATTGATAATTATCTAACACAATAATTTCTGGCAAGTATAAAAGTTCTGGCAGGTATAAAAGTTCTGGCAAGTTTTAAAGTTCTGCCAAGTATAGAAGTTCTGGCAAGTATAAAAGTTCTGGTAAGTATAAAAGTTCTGGCAAGTATAAAAGTTCTGGCAAGTATAAAAGTTCTGGCAAGTATAAAAGTTCTGGCAAGTATAAAAGTTCTGGCAAGTATAAAAGTTCTGGCAAGTATAAAAGTTCTGGCAAGTATAAAAGTTCTGGCAAGTATAAAAGTTCTGGCAAGTATAAAAGTTCTGGCAAGTATAAAAGTTCTGGCAAGTATAAAAGTTCTGGCAAGTATAAAAGTTCTGGCAAGTATAAAAGTTCTGGCAAGTATAAAAGTTCTGCCAAGTATAAAAGTTCTAGCAAGTATAAAAGTTCTGGCAAGTATAAAAGTTCTTGCAAGTATAAAAGTGCTGGCAAGTATAAAAGTTCTGGCAAGTATAAAAGTTCTGGCAAGTATAAAAGATCTGGCAAGTATAAAAGTTCTGGCAAGTATAAAAGTTCTGGCAAGTATAAAAGATCTGGCAAGTATAAAAGTTCTGGCAAGTATAAAAGTTCTGGCAAGTATAAAAGATCTGGCAAGTATAAAAGTTCTGGCAAGTATAAAAGTTCTGGCAAGTATAAAAGTTCTGGCAAGTATAAAAGTTCTGGCAAGTATAAAAGTTCTGGCAAGTATAAAAGTTCTGCCAAGTATAAAAGTTCTAGCAAGTATAAAAGTTCTGGCAAGTATAAAAGTTCTTGCAAGTATAAAAGTGCTGGCAAGTATAAAAGTTCTGGCAAGTATAAAAGTTCTGGCAAGTATAAAAGATCTGGCAAGTATAAAAGTTCTGGCAAGTATAAAAGTTCTGGCAAGTATAAAAGATCTGGCAAGTATAAAAGTTCTGGCAAGTATAAAAGTTCTGGCAAGTATAAAAGATCTGGCAAGTATAAAAGTTCTGGCAAGTATAAAAGTTCTGGCAAGTATAAAAGTTCTGGCAAGTATAAAAGTTCTGGCAAGTATAAAAGATCTGGCAAGTATAAAAGTTCTGGCAAGTATAAAAGTTCTGGCAAGTATAAAAGTTTGTCTGGGATGCTTGAGGCATCCCTTTCAAATATTGACGATGTCACCTTGACCCAGACTTGAAGTAACAAATCAGCTTCCGGGTGCGCAATAAGTTGCGCAATGAAACATAATTGCTTCTCGACTACATTTGATATCTCAACGTACGAGAGGAGAAGTGTGGATCGTGCTATTGTTTTTTTTTTACGTGTACCCTAAATTTACGGTGATGTTCATTGTTGAAGTTTAGTAATTGAAACATACCACCATTTCGTGAGTAAAAAAAAAAAGACGATTTCTAATTAAGATGCAAGATCTCTTTAATTTTATTACATGCTCTTGAAAATATTACTTCAATAAAACGTTGTGAAATGTTTATTTTTGTTTAATTCTTTTCTTTGAGTTTGGTCTATAGAAACATGTGATTGTCTATAGATCGTATAATTTCCAATGGGTGTCATTGTTCTCTAGAGTCATGCGCTTTCATAAAAAGTGGTTATCCCCTAGAATCATTTGATATCCCGTTGATGTGATTTTGAGTCCAGACTTAACTGCATGGGCGTGTTATATGGATGTGAGACCCCGCCTACCTATATGGGAGTGTCCTGTTGTTGTGAGACCCCGCCTACCTATAAGAGCGTGTCCTATGGATGTGAGACCCCGCCTACCTGCATGGGCGTGTCCTATAGATGTGATACCCGGCCTACCTATATGGGCGTGTCCTGTTGATGTGAGACCCCACCTACCTAAATGGGCGTGTCCTATGGATGTGAGATCCCGCCTACCTGCATGGGCGTGTCCTAAGCATGTGAGACCCCGCCTACCTAAATGGGCGTGTCCTATGGATGTGAGACCCCGCCTACCTATATAGGCGTGTCCTATGGATGTGAGACCCCGCCTACCTAAATGGGCGTGTCCTATGGATGTGAGCCCCGCCTACCTGCATGGGCGTGTCCTAAGCATGTGAGACCCCGCCTACCTAAATGGGCGTGTCCTATGGATGTGAGACCTCCGCCTACCTAAATGGGCGTGTCCTGTTAATGTGAGACCCCGCCTACCTGCATGGGCGTGCTCCTACTGCAGATGTTGGTGAAGCCGACGATGTCGGAGAAGAAGATGGTGACGGCCGAGTACGACACGGGCGGGACGTCTTCATGGTTGAGTAACTTCTGGGCCACGGACACCGGAAGTAGTTCAAACAGCAAGGTCTCGCTTCTCTTTCTCTCAACGTCAAGGTCACGGGTCCTCTCCTGGGGTAAAAACACGTCCAATGGTACTATATCTACCATCTGTTGGAGTCTTTTAAAAACACGTCCAATGGTACTATATCTACCATCTGTTGGAGTCTTTTAAAAACACGTCCAATGGTACTATATTTACCATCTGTTGGAGTCTTTTAAAAACACGTCCAATGGTACTATATCTACCATCTGTTGGAGTCTTTTAAAAACACGTCCAATGGTACTATATCTACCATCTGTTTGAGTCTTTTAAAAACACGTCCAATGGTACTATATTTACCATCTGTTGGAGTCTTTTAAAAACACGTCCAATGGTACGATATTTACCATCTGTTGGAGTCTTTTAAAAACACGTCCAATGGTACTATATTTACCATCTGTTTGAGTCTTTTAAAAACACGTCCAATGGTACTATATCTACCATCTGTTGGAGTCTTTTAAAAACACGTCCAATGGTACTATATTTACCATCTGTTTGAGTCTTTTAAAAACACGTCCAATGGTACTATATCTACCATCTGTTGGAGTCTTTTAAAAACACGTCCAATGGTACTATATCTACCATCTGTTTAAGTCTTTAAAAACACGTCCAATGGTACTATATCTACCATCTGTTTGAGTCTTTTAAAAACACGTCCAATGGTACTATATCTACCATCTGTTGGAGTCTTTTAAAAACACGTCCAATGGTTCTATATTTACCATCTGTTGGAGTCTTTTAAAAACACGTCCAATGGTACTATATCTACCATCTGTTGGAGTCTTTTAAAAACACGTCCAATGGTACTATATCTACCATCTGTTGGAGTCTTTTAAAAACACGTCCAATGGTACTATATCTACCATCTGTTGGAGTCTTTTAAAAACACGTCCAATGGTACTATATCTACCATCTGTTTGAGTATTTTAAAAACACGTCCAATGGTACTATATTTACCATCTGTTGGAGTCTTTTAAAAACACGTCCAATGGTACTATATTTACCATCTGTTTGAGTCTTTTAAAAACACGTCCAATGGTACTATATTTACCATCTGTTTGAGTCTTTTAAAAACACGTCCAATGGTACTATATCTACCATCTGTTTGAGTCTTTTAAAAACACGTCCAATGGTACTATATCTACCATCTGTTGGAGTCTTTTAAAAACACGTCCAATGGTACTATATTTACCATCTGTTTGAGTCTTTTAAAAGTCTTCATGTCACACCAATAAAAAATAAAACATACAGTCCTGTACCCAGCCACTTCGAGTTTCCCTAAACGGGTCAGTTGTGGGTGAAGTCGGGGACTCAGGGACGTCCTACAAACTCAACTGGGGACGCAAACTCGTCCTTAGATAAATACAGGCGTTAAACGATCTGTCCTAATGCTATGTCTGGTTGTATGTCTAAGTGAGTCATAATGTCTGTATCCTTTTGGAGTGGATTGGATGCCCTATGATCTACCTGCAATGTTTGGGCATATGCCTGTATCCCGTGGGGGTAGGGTGGATGCCCTATGACCTACCTGCAACGTCTGGGCATATGCCTGTATCCTGTGGGGGTGGGGTCGATGCCTTATGACCTACCTGCAACGTCTGGGCATATGCCTGTATCCTGTGGGGGTGGATGCCTTATGACCTACCTGCAATGTTTGGGCATATGCCTGTATCCTGTGGGGGTGGGGTGGATGCCTTATGACCTACCTGCAACGTCTGGGCATATGCCTGTATCCTGTGGGGGTGGATGCCTTATGACCTACCTGCAACGTCTGGGCATATGCCTGTATCCTGTGGGTCAGACGATACACGGCGATGATGACCAAGGGGAAGAGAATGAGGGCGACGATCATGACAGAGACAGATTCAACCAGAGCACTGTTGAGGCTGGTCACCTCCCTTTGAAGGCCTTGAACTACGTCAGTGGCCAGAGAATCCTGGGCAGCCTGGAAGAAAAAATTAAATCCGTCAACTGACGTCATGATTACTGACCAAAAGACACCACAACTCCTTTGATTACCCATGTGTCAACCCTACAACTATATTAAAAGACGAAGACGATGACAATTTAAAGCACCTTCACTCATCTGGCTAGAGTGGGATATATCACGGGCTGACTGGACTACAGTCACATACCCACATTTTCAGGAGCACCCTTAACTGCACTTTCCGTTAAAGTCAGAGGACCCAATTTTTAGGAGCACTAACTACACTCACTGTTTAAGTCAGAAGTCTCAACTACCAGGAACCCCATATCAATATCATGCTCTAATTGTTAAAATCAGGGACCCGTCACTGTTAAAATCAGGGGATCCGATTTTCAGGAACCCACTTATAAGCACTCAATAAAAATTCACTCCCGCTACTACTTTACGTGTAACGGGTCTAATTCAACTGTTTTTATTGATATGTCTGTTGTCTGTGATGGGGGGAGGGGGGAGTACAAGCGTTAAACAATGACGGCTTCCCCTGCGCCATATTTTCAAGAGACATTTTCTTGCACTTAATAACAAAATATGAATGGCCTAATTGTTTTGTAATTTGATGAAAGGGGAGAGGCGAGGCCATTTTATTTTTTGTCACGTGCCCCTCTACTCTTTACCTTCGTATCCAATCAAACTTCGCGTCTGTTGTCAACATGACGTCACACGTCAATAGAGAGAGGTAACCGCTTTGTAAGCTGGTCACGTGATCTCACAGACACGACCACGTGATTATAAACAAACAATGGGGTCACTTCTGTCAACAAACAAATGTGGTGTCACACCTCCCATTAACAAAAAAAGTGATGTCCCACCTCCCATCAACAAAAAATCTGTATGCCTTCTCTAATCAACAAAGAATGTGGTGTCGCCTCCCTAAACTAAAACAGTAACACTTCCTCAACCAGCGAGTTGACATGTTTAACTCGGCTGGCTCAGCACTTTAAAAGTTCAGCTTTAAAGTCCACACAACCACCAACGATATCGGAAACTCTTTTGTCTCACAGTTACAATCAGAATTTCTTTTTGTAACCATAGCAACGACAACGCAATAATGGAGCCATTTTTGCGTTGGACCTCTCCATTTACTTTGTTGTCACTAAATTGCAATTATTGATTGATCACAGACAGAGAAAAGGCTGAGTACTGATGTACTGTGCTCACAAAAAAAAGTTACAATAAATCACAAATCACCACCGTATGTTGGGTTTTTTGCTTGTAAAAATAATTATTTTGAAAAGCTCATTAACTATGTTTGGGACGGTGTGGCCTAGCGGTAGAGCGCTAGACTTCTAACCCGAAATTCTCGAGGTCGAATCTGGGTTCAAGTCATTAGAGGGGGTTAATAGGTACGTAACTCGGGTTAGGGAAAAGGTTAGGGAAAAGTAAAGGCGGTAGGGCATAATGCTAACAATACTATCCCTAAAAATGCCGAGGTCACAGAAATAGGTTAACTCTACTTCACTTGCCCCAAGGACCGTCATTTTCGAAAAGGGAATTTGACTATTAACTATGTATTAGGTACTGAGTCGATACTAAGCTGTTGTGTTTAGAAGGGATGATTTTAATACATGTTTATACATTGGCTTGGTTGACACAATATTTATATTGAATTGAATCAAAGAGCTTGTGTTGTCAACTTTGTTGGAGGTGAGGTAATTATACACTAGTGACGTCACTAGGCGGAAGGGGGGTTATGACAGTGATTTGCAAACTGTGTGATGTTTTACACACTTATTTTTTTTTCTTTACAAGCGGTAATTACAAAATTGTAATTATAGAGCCATTAAAGGAAGCCACTCTGGAACTGAACAAACAAGAATATTGTGTGTGTGGGGGGGGGGGGGGGGGTCATGAAGAAATAAAGAGACGTCAGTTCAAAAATAATCATTAAAAAAGTTTTAAAAAACCCACGTTTTCTGATTGAACTAAAAAGTAGAAAATAAATGCTATAGGCCCTACATCACAATAATGCAAGCGATCACTCTACTATAAGCGATGAAAAACGTGGGGCGCCGAAGTAAAAGTTATATTACTATTGATTAGATAATACTATTGACTTTTATTAGGGAGCTTGTAGAGAGTCAACAGTATTAGAAACTGTAAGAAAATCACGGCGCCCCACGTTTTTGCTCGCTTATAGTAGAGTGATCGCTTGCATTATTGTGATGTAGGGCCTATAGCATTTATTTTCTACTTTTTAGTTCAATCAGAAAACGTGGGTTTTTTAAAACTTTTTTAATGATTATTATTTTCTACTTTTTAGTCTTTGTCTGTTTGTTTGCATTAAAATCTTGCTATCGATTTTATCTTTTCACTTTTTTTGGGTAAACGAAGACAACTCGTAAAAAGACAACTCGTAAAAAGACAACTCGTAAAAAGACAACTCGTAAAAAGACAACTCGTAAAAAACACGTTGTTTGAATACGTTACTGACTAGAACACATAGATTTGAACCCGTGTCGAGTGGGATAGGAATCGTGTGCCCAACCACTCGACCATATCGTCTCCCCCAAACTGGCCTACCTCCTGTAAGTTTAAACTCGGTTCAAGCTAAATTCTCTGCCCCTAAGCCTGTGGCGACATGTGATCGTTCGCTTCACTGCGCGCGAGGTACGCGTCGCTGGTTTTTTTTCTAATGGCTAGCAGAGGAGAATTATATATATAGATTATATAGCGGTCTAAAATGCTCAATAAAATGTTTCCATTGATCAATTTAGTAATAATAACAATTGAATATTCAATGGTCATCCAAAAGAAAGCTTCCCTGAAAATTTCAGCGCGCTAGCTAACTGGGAAGTGCCAGAAATTTCGATCGCAAGATTGGATTGGAAAGACAAACAAACAAACAAAGACACAGAGAAAGCAAGTTAAAGAAAACGTGGGAAAATGGGAAAGGTTGGAGAGTTAATGTCCCTTGTTTCATTGACGTAATCCATCTACAGATCATCTAATGTGAGCTTGGATAAAGGTCAAGGTGTGACGTCACCAGGTTGTATGATCTACGTAAATCTATTCAGATCATACACTAGAAAAAATCTTGATACACATATGTGTATTCGCATAACAAACTCAACCAAATCCGGCAACATTTAATACACGATTTCTTTCACACCAAGTGTGACGAAGAATTCAACCGTGACGCTTTTTTACTTTTTTTTTTTTACAAAGGTCGAAAACCGGTTAGCTCAGGACATACACCCCCCCCCCCCCACACACACACTCCAACCCTACCCGCACATTTTGGCCTAGATTTCACTCCCATTGACGTTAAACCAAAAACAAATTGTTAAGTGTGGATTCCTGCAATAGACAAAACAGGATCTTTTCATTGCGATCTCTTCGTGATGCAAATAGTCACCTCAATGTCTATATAACCTAAGTCCACCCCCTTATACAAATGGTCACCTCAATGTTTATGAGGTCAATGACCTCGACTGACCCTGGTTGTGGTTATACAACCTTTAATCAGCCAATCGTCCCTTAACCTAAAGTTGATTTTTTAAAATAATTTTCTGCCGTCTGTCTTGGTCGTCTGCTGCTTTGGGTAGTTCTACAACTGGCAACCCAATATCGGCCTTAACAGAAACTAATAAGTGGTTTCAGTGAGATTTGTAAGGTGTTTTGGTGTCTAGATAGAATGGTGTGAGGTCTTACGATGTGTAGCCAGAATGGTGTGAGGTGTTTTGGTGTCTAGATAGAATGGTGTGAGGTGTTTTGGTGTCTCGATAGAATGGTGTGAGGTGTTTTGGTGTATAAGAAGATTTTACTTAAGTTGTTTGATTTCAAAGTAAGTCCTTTAGCCTTCAAAATTGCATATGACTCCGGTAACTCAGGAACCAGTATATGGATACCATACAGCAAATTTCAATCTTTCATTAATTCGTTGATTTAACACTTCAACAATTTATCCTTATAACAACAATAGTAAATAGCTATATACAATAGTGTATTAGCCAATCAAAATCCGCAAAGTTATCTTACATATATGCATCGTTTTATATGTCTTGCTTCTTGTAAAATGAAAAGTCTGGCAAATAAAAACACAATTTATTTTACAGATACAATCAGCAACAAGTAAAACAAATTCTCTGCTATTAATTTTTTTTTTGTAAACACTAAAAAATATTTATAGAACATTTAAATGCAATATATTATTTTAAAACACCGTTATAAAAATTGGAAGCAACGAAATAAAAAACTTGGAACAGACGTCAAGGCAGCAGTGTCGTCATGGACGTCATAACAGTTGTATGACTCTCTGCTACGTCACAACTTCGTGGCTACCATTGACGTCACAACAATTTCATGGCTACCATTGACGTCACAACAACTTCGTGGCTACCATTGACGTCATAACTCCTTTATTGCCATCACTGACATTACAACAAATGTGTAACTAGCAATCAAGCACCAGACGCCCAATTAAAATCCAATTAGAATAGCATTAAAAATATATCAATATCAAGACAAATGCAAGTGTGTCATACACAAGTATACATACAGTGTAAAGATTAAAAAATCAATTAATAAAAATTACTAGTAGTCGATAACTTGCTCAGCAAACGAATTTACGCTTGAGATCTATGAATTTCAACATCGCTACAAGATAAAACACAGATGAGCTTCTGTTAGAAATGTCGCTGTAAGAATTGTCGCTGTTAGGAATGTCGTTGTTAGACATCAGATAAATGCAGAACGTTAAATGCATAACATAGACGTGTAAGAACATTGTTGTATATAGCTGTGTGGCTTAGAGCAGAACAGATGTTACACCATTGTATAACTATATTATAACACTGTTATATCAGTGTTATAACACTTATAACACTGTACTAAAGGACCACTTCCAGAGTACAGTTTGAGTACATTTGAACATACGTTTTACAACAAAGTCATAATACCTAAATCTCCTAATCAAAGTATATTTAGCCGCTTAAGATTAACAAAATAAATCCTAATCGAAATAGTATATTTAGCCGTATATTTAGATTGACAAAATAAATCCTAACAACACTTATTTTCCTCTCATTTTAGCGCGGATGATTTTAAATTAATTATCTATTTTGTGTATGCTACCGTTTGGGGAGGGGGGGGGGTAACACGTCCTATTTTAGTTTTGTCGATGTTTGTTAACAAACACTAACCCTAACTAAACTAAATGTTCTCTATTTGCTAACACACACTAACCCTAACTAAAAATGACCCCCTCTAACAAACACTAACACTAACCAAACTTGACCCCCTCTAGCTACCAACACACACTAACCCTAACCAAACTTGACCCCCCTCTAACTACCACCAAACACTAACCCTAACCCCCACTACTCGTGTCCATGAACGATGGCCTTGGGTATGGAAGATTGACCCCCTCCACCAAACACTAACCCTAACCCCACTACTCGTGTCCATGAACGATGGCCTTGGGTGTGGAAGATTGACCCCCTCCACCAAACACTAACCCTAACCCCACTACTCGTGTCCATGAACGATAGCCTTGGGTGTTGAAGATTGACCCCCTCCACCAAACACTAACCCTAACCCCACTACTCGTGTCCATGAACGATGGCCTTGGGTGTGGAAGATTGACCCCCTCCACCAAACACTAACCCTAACCCCACTACTCGTGTCCATGAACGATGGCCTTGGGTGTGGAAGATTGACCCCTTCCACCAAACACTAACCCTAACCCCACTACTCGTGTCCATGAACGATGGCCTTGGGTGTGGAAGATTGACCCCCTCCACCAAACACTAACCCTAACCAAACATGACCCCCCTCTAGTTACCAACAAACACTAACCCTAACCAAACTTGACCCCCCTTTAACTACCACCAAACACTAACCCTAACCCCACTACTCGTGTCCATGAACGATGGCCTTGGGTGTGGAAGACTGACCCCCTCCAACAAACACTAACCCTAACCCCCACTACTCGTGTCCATGAACAATGGCCTTGGGTGTGGAAGATTGACCCCCTCCACCAAACACTAACCCCCACTACTCGTGTCCATGAACGATGGCCTTGGGTGTGGAAGACTGACCCCCTCCACCAAACACTAACCCTAACCCCCACTACTCGTGTCCATGAACAATGGCCTTGGGTGTGGAAGATTGACCCCCTCCACCAAACACTACCCCCCACTACTCGTGTCCATGAACGATGGCCTTGGGTGTGGAAGACTGACCCCCTCCACCAAACACTAACCCTAACCCCCACTACTCGTGTCCATGAACAATGGCCTTGGGTGTGGAAGATTGACCCCCTCCACCAAACACTACCCCCCACTACTCGTGTCCATGAACGATGGCCTTGGGTGTGGAAGATTGACCCCCTCCACCAAACACTACCCCCCACTACTCGTGTCCATGAACGATGGCCTTGGGTGTGGAAGATTGACCCCCTCCACCAAACACTACCCCCCACTACTCGTGTCCATGAACAATGGCCTTGGGTGTGGAAGATTGACCCCCTCCACCAAACACTACCCCCCACTACTCGTGTCCATGAACGATGGCCTTGGGTGTGGAAGATTGACCCCCTCCACCAAACACTACCCCCCACTACTCGTGTCCATGAACGATGGCCTTGGGTGTGGAAGACTTCCTGCGGACGTCTGTGATCACCATGGGCGTGGATGACCTCCTCCTCTCGTTGACGATCGTCTTGTAGATCTCCTCCTGAGCCTCCCCGGGGATCCACGGGATCGGCTTGGACGTGTTCATTGCCGTGGCGAAGTTGGAATGGCCGTACCCCGTCATGTGTAGCACGTCCTCATCGTCTGGGGGTGGGGGCTTGCTGAAAAGTTTCCGGAAATCTTCCGGAGGGCCGTCGCGAACTCGCTTGTAGATGACGAAGGCGAAAGCGATGATGAGGATGCCGCACATGATGGCGACGATAATACCGGCCTGGGCGCCGATGGACAGGTAGTTGGGGTACTCGGTGGTGATGGGGGGCTGCCACCCCCCGTCTGTCGTGGGCGCGGGCGAGCTGGTGGGGCAGTACACGACGCTGACGTCATTGCACGTGTAATCAACCTTGATGAAGGAGAACATCCCGTTGTACCTGGCCAGGTCGCAGTGACCTTCGACCTTTCTCAGCACAAGGTCAGGGAATGAGCAGCTGTTTTGTCCCGTACAGCGGCAGGACAGGCTGTCCATGTTGCTGTACAGACAGAAGTCCCGGTCTGTCGTGTTGGATGGACAGCAGATGTCGTCTGCACTGTCGTTCTTACACACCCTGTGGAGACAGCAAACACACACAGTTAGTATGTGTATTTGTACAACATAATTGTAAGTAGTGGTACAACAAAATCTGATGAATTGGTACAACATAATGTAGTGTATTGGTACAGCATAATCTGATGTTGGTACACCATAATGTAATGTGTTGGTATAATATAATCTGATGTATTGGTACAACATAATGTAATGTGTTGGTACAATATAATCTGATGTAGTGGTATAACATAATGTAATGTGTTGGTACAGCATAATGTAATGTGTTGGTACAGGATAATGTAATGTGTTGGTACAATATAATCTGATGTATTGGTACAATATAATGTAATGTGTTGGTAAAATATAATCTGATGTAGTGAAGAAACTCTGAAGTCACGTGACAACTGTTGTATGAAAGTTTGATGACCGTGTACTCACCCTAAGGCTGTGACCCCGTGTGTGACCTTCTGGATTTGAATGTACTGACCGCTGGGGCACGTGAGCTTCAGGTCAGTTTGTGCTGAGTTGAGGCCTTGCAAGCAGAATGGCCTCTCGTTGACGGGGATGGTGGCCGTCTGGGCCATCACAACATGGGCCAACAGGCCACAGTACAAGATTGGCCACATTGTTTTTTATTGATTAATTAACGAAATCTTGATCGGGCTTTGGGGAGAAAAATATTAGCGTTAACATTAAGACCTGCTAGCTAAAGGTTAGCTAAATATTAGCGTTAACATTAAGACCTGCTAACTAAAAGTACGCTAAATATTAGCGTTAACACTAGACGCTAGCTAAAGCTACGCTAAATATTAGCGTTAACATTTAGACTTGCTAGCTAAATGGTCCCCTAAAAATTAGCGTTGACAATACTTTGTGTTAATATTAGCGTTAGAGCTAAGATGTTTTAGCAAAAAGTAGACCTGTCAGAGATAACACTGTACCGAGATTAAAGCTAGCGTGTTTAATACTGTATCACAAAGCCGAAATACATCAACACATTAAATTCGCCCAACTCAAACTGATAATTGCCCAGTTCAAGACAAACTAAATGGACTAGTCACCTATGTTGTTGTTTTTTTTATCTCTATCATTCATATCTTTATATTTTTAAGTTGCCATCAAATACTACATTAATTTTTTTAAACTTTTTTTTAACGCGGGGTAAAAAATGTATTGTAAAACCAAACGCAAACTACCAACCTATGTAAGATTTATGCTTTAACACACGTCTAAACACCCGGAGTATTTTAACGTAACAATTACAAAGAGTCCACAGAAAAGTGAAGTCGCTCTGTTATGTAGTGGCGTATGGTCTCCCACTGTCTAGAGGCACGCTCGTGTATCATCGCCGGTCTGGGGACTGGGGTGATCGCTCGCTACAGGGGTGGCTTAAAGAGGTGGGTAAAAACATTTTTAAGGGGGAGGGGTGGTGGTTGTTTGGGAGGTTTGGTGGGCAGGCGCCTACCCATCCCCTGTCCCTACACTCCATGCGGATATGTCACGGTCGGTGGTTTTCTATCGAAACTCCTTTGAAAGTTTAAAAAACAAAAAAAAAGTTGGGCGGTTCTCACTTGAAGCGTGTTGCACCCAACAGGACTTTGAGTACGGAATTTTGATCTATAGTTCTTTTTGAGAACAGAAGTTTGATTTATGGTTCTTTTTTAAGACAGAAGTTTGATCTATAGTTCTTTTTGAGGGCAGAAGTTTGATCTATAGTTCTTTTTGAGGACAGAAGTTTGATCTATAGTACTTTTAGAGGACAGAAGTTTGATCTATAGTACTTTTTGAGGACAGAAGTTTGATATATAGTACTTTTAGAGGACAGAAGTTTGATCTATAGTACTTTTTGAGGACAGAAGTTTGATCTATAGTTCTTTTTGAGAACAGAAGTTTGATCTATAGTTCTTTTTGAGGACAGAAGTTTGGCCTATGGTTCTTTTTGAAGACAGAAGTTTGATCTATAGTTCTTTTTGAGGGCAGAAGTTTGATCTATAGTTCTTTTTGAGGACAGAAGTTTGATCTATAGTACTTTTAGAGGACAGAAGTTTGATCTATAGTACTTTTTGAGGACAGACGTTTGATCTATAGTACTTTTAGAGGACAGAAGTTTGATCTATAGTACTTTTTGAGGACAGAAGTTTGATCTATAGTTCTTTTTGAGAACAGAAGTTTGATCTATAGTTCTTTTTGAGGACAGAAGTTTGATCTATAGTTCTTTTTGAGGGCAGAAGTTTGATCTATAGTTCTTTTTGAGGACAGAAGTTTGGTCTATGGTTCTTTTTGAAGACAGAAGTTTGATCTATAGTTCTTTTTGAGGGCAGAAGTTTGATCTATAGTTCTTTTTGAGGACAGAAGTTTGATCTATAGTACTTTTAGAGGACAGAAGTTTGATCTATAGTACTTTTTGAGGACAGACGTTTGATCTATAGTACTTTTAGAGGACAGAAGTTTGATCTATAGTACTTTTTGAGGACAGAAGTTTGATCTATAGTTCTTTTTGAGGACAGAAGTTTGGTCTATGGTTCTTTTTGAAGACAGAAGTTTGATCTATAGTTCTTTTTGAGGGCAGAAGTTTGATCTATAGTTCTTTTTGAGGACAGAAGTTTGATCTATAGTACTTTTAGAGGACAGAAGTTTGATCTATAGTACTTTTTGAGGACAGAAGTTTGATCCATAGTACTTTTAGAGGACAGAAGTTTGATCTATAGTACTTTTTGAGGACAGAAGTTTGATCTATAGTTCTTTTTGAGAACAGAAGTTTGATCTATAGTTCTTTTTGAGGACAGAAGTTTGATCTATAGTACTTTTAGAGGACAGAAGTTTGATCTATAGTACTTTTTGAGGACAGAAGTTTGATCTATAGTACTTTTAGAGGACAGAAGTTTGATCTATAGTACTTTTTGAGGACAGAAGTTTGATCTATAATTCTTTTTGAGAACAGAAGTTTGATCTATAGTTCTTTTTGAGGACAGAAGTTTGATCTATAGTTCTTTTTGAGGACAGAAGTTTGATCTATAGTTCTTTTTGAGGACAGAAGTTTGATCTATTGTTCTTTTTTGAGGACAGAAGTTTGATCTATAGTTCTTTTTGAGGACAGAAGTTTGATCTATAGTACTTTTAGAGGACAGAAGTTTGATCTATAGTTCTTTTTGAGGGCAGAAGTTTGATCTATAGTTCTTTTTGAGGACAGAAGTTTGATCTATAGTACTTTTAGAGGACAGAAGTTTGATCTATAGTACTTTTTGAGGACAGAAGTTTGATCCATAGTACTTTTAGTGGACAGAAGTTTGATCTATAGTACTTTTTGAGGACAGAAGTTTGATCTATAGTTCTTTTTGAGAACAGAAGTTTGATCTATAGTTCTTTTTGAGGACAGAAGTTTGATCTATAGTACTTTTAGAGGACAGAAGTTTGATCTATAGTACTTTTTGAGGACAGAAGTTTGATCTATAGTACTTTTAGAGGACAGAAGTTTGATCTATAGTACTTTTTGAGGACAGAAGTTTGATCTATAATTCTTTTTGAGAACAGAAGTTTGATCTATAGTTCTTTTTGAGGACAGAAGTTTGATCTATAGTTCTTTTTGAGGACAGAAGTTTGATCTATAGTTCTACCTAATGGAATCTTTCTTATGCTATATAAAATGTTATATGTGGGTACAAAACTTTGAGGTCTTAGGGATAAAATGGATTTTTTAAGAACTCCAGCAAGATAAAATGTACAAACTTCAGTCACAACAAAACAATAAAACATCTCGAAATTTTATTTGAGGTCATCTCAGATCTCACAATACTGCAGGAATTTTGTCTCTCGTAAATTACTTTAAGATAAATGTATTGCGTCCAACTACAGACAGATTTGTATTGTAAGAAAATTAAAACTGATCCTCTTTCTCCGCCATCCACACAAACCAAATACTTTTCTCCATCCGTTTATTCAGGTGACTTGTTAGCTCATGTTTTGTTTTACAATGTTTGATCGTACTGCACGGACAGAACTGACGTCTAGGACGTCTAAAATTGACGTCTGATGCCTATGACGTCTACAAAAGTTCCTGCTTGTGAATCACGTGGCCGCTAATTAACCAACCAGATCTCACTTCCCGTCATATCGACTTCCGTCAGAACGTGATCGTGGTCACGTAGGTCTTGTCACTGATCTCCTGTCACGGTGTCACGTGACTAGTCTACGTGTTGTCACGGTCAATTCGCTGGCCGTTGGTTGGATTTGGATGTTTGTGGTTGGATTGTGGATGGTGGAAAATGGATAGTGGTTGGCCGATACTGGATTTTTACAAACCCACGTCATGTGGTTGGCTGTAGATCACTTTGAACTAGCATTACAAGGTCCTTTGACCACGGTTACAAGGTAGATAACATTTCTAATCAAGCAAAACAATAGTGCTTACCCGAATCAATGACAGTACTTTAGACTAATTGGACTAATTGGACTAATTACCTTAGACACCAAAGACATAAACTATTGATTTTTTTCTGAAAAAAAAGCTAAATTTAAAAAGATGTTACAGTTTAATTCAATTTATAGAACGTCCATGTGAACGAAAATATTCTAGGAGGGAATCGAAATTCAGAGACCAAAAAGTTTAGTCCTATCCTAACTCCATCGAATCGTCCGTGTATCAGTGCCCCTACACACCCCCACAACTTTACACACTCCCACAACTTACACACTCCCACAACTTACACACCTACAATGTACACGGCTTTGTGTTCCGCGTGTGTCTGCTCATGGAGTTTTTGTTTTTAATTATTTTCGAAAGGTTTTTTTTATGTTTGAACGCTTTAATCTTTCAAAGGAAAACACGCTTCAATAAACAAACGTTTAACTTAACGAACACTATTCGGTAATGGAAAAAGATTGTTAACATTAAGCTTTTCGGTTATCGAATCGCTAATACCGTAATCCGATACTTCAGTCCGATACTTTAGTTATCGCCATACTAACTCCCACCATAAGGAGATGTAATCGATACGAATATGACGGTACGGCTAACCGAAATGATCACCTACATTTCATAATTCGTCTGTACCTCTCCATTTACCTACATACCAACTAACGCATACACTGGCATTAAAAAAATTGGTTGAAATTTTTAAAAAAATCTGCACAAAATGTCTTTGTGTTGTACAGCGAGATGTGCGTCACTGTTTCGTTCCACTTGACTGACTCTCACCAAGATGGTTCAGAGGCGGGTCATATCCACAGACATCCAGACATTCACAGGTATCCACAGACATCCAGACATTCACAGATATCCACAGAGATCCACATATATCCACAGACATCCACATATATCCACATATATCCACATATATCCACAGATATCCACATATATCCACAGATATCCACATATATCCACAGATATCAACATATATATCCACAGATATCCACAGATATCCACATATATCCACATATATCCATATATATCCACAGATATCCACATATATCCACAGATATCACCATATATCCACAGATATCCACATATATCCACAGACATCCACATATATCAACATACATCCACAGGGCACTACAATATAGTATAATGATCTCCGTCGCTTTCTGATGTAACTTGTATTTGACTCTAGCTCATGGCTAGGTTTAGGGTTAGGGTTAGGTCCAAGATTTGGATGTGGTTGCTAGCAAATAAATCATTGTGGCGATAGCCCTAACCTAGAAAATAAATCATTGGGTCGATAGACCTAACGTCGTGAATATACTCACCTCCTCCGTCACTCACTGTTTACTGTAAAACATTTGACATTAGTTGTGTATAATTTATGACATGTCATTCTCACTATTAGCTATATTTAATTTGTCACATTTCGTGCATATTATTAGTTGTGTATAATTTGTAACAAGTGACTATGTAGAAAATATGTAACATTTGTAACGAATTACCACCACAATCACCTCTGTAACATTTGTGACAAAAAGACTCGCCCATACTATTTTAAATTGTTTTTAATGTGGCCCCAAATAATATACAATGTAACATTTGTCACCAAACATCTCCAGAATTTACTATGTAACATATGTAAACAATCCCTCTTCCGTATTGTTACTACTTTATTCTAGCACCTTTCCCTTCCCCCCCCCCCCCCCCCGTGGATGCGCCTATGCAGGGTAAACAACCCCAAAGTTCAGCTGTGACGTCAGCACTTCGACCTTGAGAATCGTGTCCCCACATCTTGAACCACGTGACCTACATGTCCACAGGACCGTGACCAGCTCCGCCCCTCCCCCCCCCCCCCCCCCCCCCACACCCCATACACAACCAACCAGGCGATGCAACTGATGACGTCTTTTTTTGTTCAAAATATCCAACCTCTGACCTCCACTTTGAACAGGTTTGTGTGTTATTCTGTGCATGATCATAACGATTCATATTTTTGTTGAAAATATCAATTTTCTTTTAGCGCTCTGTTACTTCGTACGTCATGCACTGGGCGCAGCACGTGAGGGGGGGGGGGGGGGCGCAGCAAGGGGGGAGGGGCGTTATGATAGCTCGAGACGGGCGTTGATGTGCCACTCAGTTATAAGGAAACCATCACAGTGAATAAGTCATAAGAAAAAATCACAGAAAATATGTATGTTAATTATAGGAATTTTATTTCGCTATATCATGAATTTCAATTGTGATGTATTGTACGAATTGTTTTTCTAGAATTAGCGAGTGGAAAATGTTGAAATTCGTGTTTGATGTCCGTACACACGCAACAAGATGATAATGATGTTGGTCCTCCATGTCCCAAATCTTGTCTTTAATATATCAAAGATATCTAATATTATTTTTTCAGAAACAAATGCACGTCCTCAGTGATACATTATGACAATAAATGTAGAACAGGAATCAAACTTCAATTTTAAAACTTGACTAACAATAACAAAAATTAATTTAACATTTTTTAAAAGCCGTCCTCTGGTCGACCCGTTTATTTTTTGGATATTAAAACCAAACAGAGTTTAAGATGTTCTGCTCAAACCGAAAACGTTGCTGTTGTTTTATTTAATAGTGAACAAATTACGCCTGTAATAAAGTTCAACCTTAAACTCAACCTTAAAGTATAACGAGTATATGCATTCAACAGCTTATAGCTGATTCTCTATTTCTGTAAAATGTTCAATGCTTAAAGATGTGAACGTCTGTTCAAGCATTGTAAATCTAGCTTCAAATGTAAGGCTTACAAATCTTAAAACTCCATAAGCAGCTTGAACAAAACTATTCATATAAACTCGTCACATACATATTTTGAATTTATAAAATAAAAACATATTTTCAGTTTAAAACAGCCTCCATCTATGCATAAAACGGTTAACATAGCATCCATTACGTGCTAACACCCACTTCCGGTCTACAGACGTGTTTCCATATCAGCCAACATAATCAAAGGAGGCGGTGAAGCATGCAGAACCATAGACGTCATAAACATACACATGCACCGACACATATACACACATACATACACCGACACACATACAAACACACACACACATTGCCTACTTCATACACACGCATGCGCATACAGACACGCAAGTGCAGACATACACATAGCCATACACTCGCAAGAACACACGTACATTTACATACACGCACACATATATACACGATATTGACATACACACACAAACAGGCACACGCATTTATACATACGACACACATACACACATACATACGAATAGAAATATATATTTTCACACGAAAACTCACACACACATACATACATACATACATACATAGTCGACAGATTTGTTATCCCCTGATTTGTTATCCCCTGATTTGTTATCCCCTAATTTTTTATCCCCTAATTTGTTATCCCCTAATATGTTATCGTCTGATTTGTTATCCCCTGATTTGTTATCGTCTGATTTGTTATCCACTGATTTGTTATCGTCTGACTTAACTTCTTTGATCACATTAATCAACGTTCTGGTCCACTGAACAGCATTTCGTGCCAGTATGAATAGCGTGTGGTAGGGGAGGGGGGAGGGGTAAATAGGGCTGCCGGCAGTAGAGGCAATACTACGATAATCTACAATGTTGCTTATAATTTGTGTGCGGGGGGGGGGGGGGAGGGCTTGGTACAATACTACTATCACATTTGTTTGTGATCATCACGGATGTTTACAAATAATTATTAACCCTTAAAGATCCACCACCTTAAAGATTTGTTTTTTATAGTTAATTTATATACCTACATTTTATTGTTGACGCAGATAGATTTTTTTGTTTGGACATGAGTACAATGTTACTGTAACACGGATATAACCAGCCACCGTGTTGCTGCAAAGGTGTGGCCACCATCCCAGCTGTAGCCGCTGGCCACCACTCCAGCTACAGCCGCTGACTACCATCCCAGCTGTAGCGGTGGCCACCATTTCAGCTAAATTCGGGTTGTTGATGAAAATCCTCTTCACACTTTGTTGAGTAGCCGACACAAACACAACACAAACACAACACAAACACAACACAAACACAACACAAACACAACACAAACACAACACAAACACAACACAAACACAAACACAACACAAACACAACAACATAACACATTTGAAACAAATAGCACTTCATTTACCTACGAAAACAACAACATACACAGACATTATAACATGTCTTCATCCTCGCATTTTTCAAGTCACGGCGGAGCTTAAGACAATTGCAACACCCACCCATGCTTTTCGGTACTTTGCAATATTTTCAATTTGTTTTCATTTTTATACGCACAGATATATGTAAATAACAAACTGGGAACAGGGAATCATAACAATGAGAGGGTGGAGAGTATGGAGAGTAGTCAGCTGACAGAGTCCAACATGTTGGTGGCCCGAGTTCTAATCCGGCCTGGTCAGTGTGAAGACAATCTAGAACACTTACCTGAGCTTTCTTCAGGTAGTGGAAGGTCTTGTTGCCATGACGACAGCCACGTGATGGGTGTTCACTGCCTAGATCTAGGTGTTGTGGCGCCATTGCTCGACGACTCACTTGTAGGCACACACACACACACACACACACACCAGTCGAAGTCACTTTACAAGAGCACCCGTCAAACGCACACACACACACACACACACACACACACCAGTCGAAGTCACTATGTTACAAGAGCACCCGTCACACACACACACACACACACGAGGGCACTGACCTTGAGAATGTTGATGTACACCGTCATGTTTTTGAACCACATGGAGCCCATGGTGACGTCACTTCCGTTGATAGAATTCCTCAGAATCTCCTCCCTCATGCGGGTGAGGTAGAGATCGGTGGGTTTGCCGAGGAAAGTGTTGCTCAGGTACAGCTTGATGCTAGAGGAGAACTCGGTACAACGCTCCAGGTAGCTCATGCCCAGGATCTTCCTCTCTAGGTAGGCGAGCATCTGTTGGTTGTTGTAGCCGCCTGGGGGAGGGGGGGGGGGGAAGGGGGTACAGCAAGTCAGTTTTTAGAGATAACAAAACTTTCTACTGGGAAGAAAATGTATTGTCAGCTTGTATCTGTTGCTACCACATATTTTCTACCTTAATGCGGGGTCAACGTCCTTTTCAGACATGAGGGTCAATGTGGCAGGTCAAGTAGAGTTTATGTGTTTTTGCCACGTCTGGCAGATGAAGGGATTGTGTAGTTGCAATTTCCACCTTTCCCTCGTGCCGAGTCAGGTACCCATTAGAGCTGAGTGAACAGAATGACGCCTCACTGACTAGAGTCCAGACGCCGAACTTTCAAGTTAGCGTTTGTGTGTTCTATGGTTAGACTGTACCATAAGTTAACGGCATCACACAACGGGAAATGTAGGAGCCACTTAAGTACCACACTCAAGGTCCAGTTTCATTGGGTGGTTTTTTTTTTTTTTTTTTTTTTTTTTTTTTTTTTTTTTTTTTTTTTTTTTTTTTTTATTAAGTTTTAAAGTGTTGAGTAAAACCTAACATTAACATCGTTTTAATATTTGATATAAATACACAAATAGTTTCGTACCTAGGGCATAAAACGTGCTGCCTAGTGCCCTCTCTGCCCCCGCCTGTTCCTTGCTTAGTATCAACATGTAGTAGCCAATCAGAGTCTTCCACAGGTCTCCACTCTGTAACAATCACAATCACAAGCGTTAGGATTGGTTGATCAACTGACACCACAATCACAAGCGTTAGGATTGGTTGATCAACTGACACCTATTAGGGCTATACCAATAGGAATGTTGATATACTCATGCGTCTGATGCTACTAGATTTAATCATAAGTGTGACGTCACCTACCTTAGAGTGCTGGATGAACTGCCCCACCCACTTCAAGATGACATTGTTGTCGTCACTATAGAACTTGATGACCTCGGGTACTGTGACATTTGGTACTTTGTTCAGAAGTACCATTTTCCTAACGGGATATGAGTAAAATGTCATTATAAAAAAAACTCGTGCGTGTTCAGGCTGTCACTTTTTCTCCATGGACATTTATTTGACGAACACCGTATAAACGTTAGCTCCAAAAATACAAAGTCTAGCTAAGATGAAACATATAGAGACACTCAAAACCTAAACTCTAAACATCTTCTGTATCCACCTGTACACCTGTATACCCATCTACACCTTGTGTACACCTCGTCTACCCACCTGTACACACCGTGTGTACTCACCACTACACCTTCTGTATCCACATGTACACCTTATGTACACTTCGTGTACCCTCATATACACCTTTTGTACCCACGTGTACACCTTGTGTAACCATGTTTACCCATGTGTGTACTCACCTGTAAACCGTGTGTACCCACCTGTACACCGTGTGTACTCACCTGTACACCGTGTGTACTCACCTGTACACCGTGTGTACTCACCTGTACACCGTGTGTACTCACCTGTACACCGTGTGTACTCACCTGTACACCGTGTGTACTCACCTGTACACCGTGTGTACTCACCTGTACACCGTGTGTACTCACCTGTACACCGTGTGTACTCACCTGTAAACCGTGTGTACTCACGTGTACACCGTGTGTACCCACGTGTGTACTCACCTAAACTCCTTGATGTTGCTATGGTAGGCCTGCACCGACTGAAAGTGTGGAATGTCTGGCTCCACCACCCACCTGTACACCGTGTGTACCCACCTGTACACCGTGTGTACACTGTGTACTCACCTAAACTCCTTGATGTTGCTATGGTAGGCCTGCACCGACTGAAAGTGTGGAATGTCTGGCTCCACCACCCACCTGTACACCGTGTGTACCCACCTGTACACCGTGTGTACACTGTGTACTCACCTAAACTCCTTGATGTTGCTATGGTAGGCCTGCACCGACTGAAAGTGTGGAATGTCTGGCTCCACCACCCACCTGTACACCGTGTGTACCCACCTGTACACCGTGTGTACACTGTGTACTCACCTAAACTCCTTGATGCTGCTATGGTAGGCCTGCACCGACTGGAAGTGTGGAATGTCTGGCTCTACCACCCACCTGCTCAGGCCGAGGATGGCCTTGTCGGTGGCCAAGTAGGCCAAGTTAAGGTTGGCCAGGACGGTAGAGTCACCTGCTGATGAGAGGTTAATTAAACACCTGGACGACATAATGAGAGGGGTTAATTATACACCTGCTGATGAGAGGTTAATTAAGAAATTCGCACACAAAAATACAGCCTTGTTTTAGTTCAATAACTGTTTGTTGTGTTCCTTAACAAATGATTGATTCGTGTTTTGTTTTTTGCTTGTTTATTTAACGAATTCCATACCGCTTATAAAGCGGTTCTATCTAATCAAGATCAAATGTTTACAATACTATTGATTTTTTTGTTGAGGGCAATGTCGAAACGATTAACTGATAACTGAACGTTAAGTAACACAAACAGTTGTTTTGCCCTCCATAAAAAACTGTTACGTTGGTAGGAAATTATTAAATGCTTGGTTTGACTAAACTAAAAAACAAATTACTTAAATCAGATTAACGTTAAATCAGTCCAGGTTTCGTACCTTCTTGGAACTAACTAATAGGACTCTGAGATCCTCAAGTTGTCAAGCAATCCAAACGCTAATCCTCACCCCAGGAAGTCATGCTACTATAACTTTAAACATTATCACGCGACCCTAGAGCTAACCGTTGTCAGGTACCTTAAAACCAGTATCGAAAATATATTGCCTATACCAACGGGGACATAACTCCTACAAAAGCTCACAGAATTCTGCACAGAGTTATCTTTTCTTGTGCCAAATAAGCAGACGAATTAAGATAAATATTTCAGTAGAACACTGGATTGTCCAACTTGCGACATCTTTTTAATTGATTATATGTTAAAGGCTACCTATAAAGTAGCCATTAATTATTAATGTGTGTTAAAATATTTTTAGAACGTTTGATTGAAGATAAGCTATTTTTATGACATTTATGACTAATATTTCACTCACAAAATCAAGTTAATGATGTCAGCTTTTGAAGTGAAGCTTAATTGAGATTTATTTGCAAATCTTGGTGCACTACTTTGTTGCTACATTTCAGTACTACACGTCAGTGCTACACTTCAGTGCTACACTTTAATGCTACACTTTAATGCACCATTTTAGTGCTATACTTTGTTGCTACACTTCAGTGCTGCACTTTAATGCACCATTTTAGTGCTATACTGTTGCTACACTTCAGTGCTACACTTTGTTGCTACACTTTAATGCTACACTTTAGTGCTACACTTTCGTGCTAGACTTGAGTGCTAGACCTCCCCCACATCACCTAACCACACCTCATTAAACACCATCTAAAATTGAACACATTTATTCTCCCTCACCGATCTACTTAAAACCTCATTTAGACACCTATATTTGCGTACTCGTCAGTTTTAAAATCAAGTGCCCCACCCTCGGGGAGAAATTAGCGTGAGTACAGAAATCGATAAAAAATCTGCAGCATAAAAAAGGTTCACATTAAACCTACTGGTTGTTGGTGGATGAAAAGTTGTACATCTGGTGGAGACTGGAATAATGAGGACATTTTTTTTTAGTTTGATTAAAAGATTGAGTAGGATTGAGGAAAATGCATATGTTCACTGCAGACATATTATTAGACGTAGTTACCTTTACTTCTGAAGTAAGAACTACCTTTGATGGTAGATAAAAGATTTACTTTTAATGTTGACCTAAGACTTATCGTTACTTATGAAGTAAGACCTACCTTTAGGGGTCATCCATTTATGACGTCCACACGCGGGGGGGGGGGGGGGTCCGAAAAAACTGACTTTTGTGGTCGCATATGGACTTTTATAAGGAAAAAAAATGGATTTTTGTAGGTTGTGGGGGGGGGGGGTCCAAAATAAATTTTAAAAATGTGGACGTCATAAATGGATGACCCCTTACTGCTGAAGTAAGACCTACCTTTACTTCTTAAGTAAGACCTACCTTTACTTCTGATGTAAGATTAACTTTTAATGTTGACCTAAGACTTACCTTTACTGTTGAGGTAAGACTTACCTTTACTGCTGAAGTAAGGATTTTCTTGCTGAAGTAAGACTTACCTTTACTTTTGAAGTAAGACCTACCTTTACTTATGAAGTAAGACCTACCTTTACTGCTGAAGTAAGACCTACCTTTACTTCTGAAGTAAGATTTACTTTTAATGTTGACCTAAGACTTACCTTTACTGTTGAGGTAAGACTTACCTTTACTGCTGACGTATAACGCAGTTGTGCCCCTTTCAATCTGAGTTTGATGTACTACATTTCCGGTTTCAACGCTAGAAAAAAAAATAATTTAAAACTTTAAAAAGTGGTGAGATATTGAGAAGACTACGGTAAAGTCTAAACATCCACGTTATGGCGAAGTCTCCGATTGCCGGAAGCTTAAAGTTACTACAGTTTACATCATGGCTTTTCTATTCATTTCTTCTAATTCAGTTACATTTGGATTAATTATTTGGTTAAATAGCTGGCTATCTATCTGGTTCATTATCTGGGTTACCGCCAAAATTGTTTTGTTAGTTTGATTTTAATAACTTTTAAAAATAGATATAATTAAGCTAGTGACCAGTGTTTCTTTCAGACTTTTTTCTTTGAGGGTGGGGGCGGCACTAGAAATTCTCGGGGGTGGGGGGCGGACTAATTTCCGGGTGGGGGGCGGACACAGGAAAAAGTATATATTTTCTTTATAAATTCTATTTCGTTCGAGGAAATGAACCCTATTCCCCCTTCTGATGATGCCTGAAAGTAACTCTGCAAGTGACCAAACATCATCTGGTTCAATTGGTTGTGTTGTAAAACAAACTTCTACATTTTTTTATTGATGACATGCCCAAACACTCCTACTGATGTCGCACTGTCACTTCCGGAAATAACGAAACCGGAAATTGAGCCATTCCGCAACTTCCGGAAGTGCTACTAAACAAGCCAGTGTAGCCAGGCGACGTGGTGTGCTTGAGTTGTTTGTACTCGTTTCTGTTTTGTTTCTCAACCACCCAGGATTAGCTTTCAGTCTGTCACGTACTTGTGGGGTCAGTAGTCAATCTTTCTGCTCTGGTGTTCAATGGGGGGGGGGGAGGGGCGGTCAATGAGGGCATACCTGTTTTCGACTTACTACATCATTGTTGGGAAGTCCACCACACAAAAAGTCAAAGTCAACTTAGTTAACGATGTAAGTCAACCACCCAAATATCCACAATGTCCAAGTCAACCACCCAAATGCTCAAGTCAACCACCCAAAATCTCCAAGTCAACCACCCAAAATCTCCAAGTCAACCACCCAAATGCTCAAGTCAACCACCCAAAATCTCCAAGTCAACCACCCAAAATGTCCAAGTCAACCACCCAAAATGTCCAAGTCAACCACCCAAAATGTCCAAGTCAACCATCCAAATGTCCAAGTCAACCACCCAAAATCTCCAAGTCAACCACCCAAATGTGTGACAAAATGTGACATAGAGCAGCTCATACTTGAGCAAAATGATTTTGTAAGACAGTATAAGTGACATTTAGTCCAACTGGTATACAGCACATTTTTAGCACATATCTAGTCTTGAGGGGTATCGACTTAAGAAAGATTAGCTTTAAAAGAAATAAAAATAGTAAAAGTTGCTTTTAATATGTTAATTATTAGTTAGTCTTACATCATTAAGTAATTTAAGTACTAGAATGTAGAAAATAAAACACGTTTTAAAAAAACTAAAAGAAAACAAAAATACATTAACATTGTTTGCCTGATGTATTGAAAAGTTTTCTAAAGCAACTAACTCTTAAACTGGGATTGCTAAAGGACTTTTATTTTCTTCTTTATGTGCGTGTGTGTGTATTTAAAAGGATGCTTTTCTAAAGTTTGTATCCCTTTTTTTATTTATATATTGATTTTATTTGCACATTGTTTACAATGGCGTTTTTACCCTACGAAGACAGAAGGTGGAAAC